GATGGCACAGCCATCGCGATTGCGCGGGCCCCTACCAGAAATTCGTTGCGCCGCCCTTGGGGGCAAAAAACGGTGAAAGCTAACGTACGAAATCAGAGGGCAGCACACGGTGCGATCGCGCGACCCTGCCCGTGAGCAATCTCCCAACTCATCTCTGATCGTGCGACCCTTCCCGTGAAAAATCTTCCAATTCATCTCTGTTCCCAATAGCTGTCATGGAAGGCATTTCCAAATGCATCCAATGCAGTCCAAAACGACTAGACCAGTAAAAGGTGATACTCGAAAAGGAGTCTTCTGATTGGCTGGCAAGCGAAAAGTAAAGCGTTTCATGAGATAGCGCCCTAAAGACCGTGGTCGATTCGCAATATGAACACACGATGTCTCATTGAATGCGCAGGTCAGCGCAGGTGCCGTTATCAACTTGTCTTGAATATTAGTGGTTGAAGTCAGCTGACAGAAGCAGTCAAGAAGCACAGTAGAATATTTCCCTATGCCGCGGAAAAGGATTTATAATTGAATATATCAGATATTTTTCTTTATAATATCATATACAGTGTCAATTTCTTAAATTATTTGCGAAATTGACTTCGCACCAGCACAATCAGGTACCTGACTACTGATTTTAATCATGTGATCAGTCTGGGCGTATCTATGTATCACTTGATGGATTTTTATTTAGCGGGAAATATTTAATAACTCTTCCAGGATAAGTTGTATGTTTTATTCAAGTAGCACTCGCTGAAGGACGGTGTAAGAAACAATATACAGGATGAAAATCTGTGGCCCTAAATATGCCCTCTGCGGATTGGTACTCTCCGTTTGGGGAATCATCCAACTTGTAAATATACTTATATATTGTTACGGTTCATTTTAGTTAACGAATATACCTGTACTTTGTTTCGTAGCATAATCTGGTATGCTTAAGTATTAATTGTGTATCGTAATCTTACAGCTCTTTATGGGAGTGTTCTTTTATGTAAGAAGCGTTGCTCTGGTAGAGGATCTACCGTTAGAAGGCAAAGTCTTCGAAACCAAAGACGAGTTTTACACGGAAGCTGACAGAGGGTACACACAAAATGCTTACAACTGTTGGATTGCTGCGTGCATATACGTTTTAACATTCCTGTTCTCTGGACACCAGTTTTACGTAAATTCTCGATCTTCGCTTAGTGTTTAATAGTATTATTTGTAGCAATGATAAGTTGGTGTTTACCTTCAATGATGTACAGTTAACATTCGAAGGTTCTAACAAGTTTCATAATTTCTTTTTACATTTCATTTTGTTGAGTATTTAAAAATTGTATACAACAGATCTTGTAACGGTACTCAATAAAATATTAATTGGTTTACTTCGGTTCAAATAGTGATGAAATAGTGGTAACGGGAAATGTTGAATTCACTTCAGAAATCATTGCTTAAAATAGTTTTGAGGAAATCTATCTTTTTTGGTTGTATGAAATAAATTTTGAAGTTAATACAAAACTGATCTGGCATTACTCGCGACCATAACGTTAATGGAGTTAAGAATAATATAAACACATTTTGTTGTGAAATAAATTGTTTGAATCATATCCCATTACAGTATTATTCCCCGATTTACCCATGTATGAATTCGTTATAATAAATGCCACGAATCTAAGAATTCTAATTCCATTTAATTAAATTTAATCATTTTTAATTATATGGATAGGAAGGAAATAATGACTCTTACAGTTCACCATTTTTATAATAAATTACAACAGTACATAATAAGGTGCACGATACATATCTTTCCAGTTTAACTTCAAAAAATATTCTATGAAATGAGTTACGACTTCTCGAATGCTTGTAGAAAGTATTGTATAAATTACATTTATTTTGAGAATAAATACGAGCTGATTCACTATAAATATTTATGTGTACAAACACTTTGTATATAGAATACATAAACATTCTTCTATATATGTCAAATTGCATGGGAAAATGGATTAAAACTAGTGTATGTAATATGTATTAATATTTCAAAATATTACTTTTGAAGATAACCCAGGCAAACATTTCAATGAATTTTAGAAAATCAGATACTTTTATAAAAGTTCCACATGTTCAAAATACCATCTAGTAGAGAAACAAGTACTTGGCATTTGATACTTCAGATGTGTATATGTATTGTGAGTCAGATGAATGATTTCTACATATATTATAATAATCTCTCTTCATTGCAATGAAAATGGTAGGTTTCAAAATATTGAACGTGTCTTCAATTGTTTATGGTATGTAAAATAAAGGTTCCAAAGATAAATATTTTTTAAAGTATACACGCCAACTTTCTGCCAAAGTCATACTGCACACATTACATAGAAATCCGTTATTGAGAAAATAGTTATCACAGATAGTTAGATCTATAAACTTGGTTGTGAAATCGCAATAAAGAGTGAAACACAACAATTGAGGTAATTACTTGATTAGTTGAATATAAAGAGGCATTTAAGCTTCATCAATTGGATCGACCCATGTGGCTTCCTTCTTATAGTCGGAAAATATAATCCTTCGTTAGTTTTTAATTAATACTAACTGAACGACATATAAATAATTTTCATTGCAATTTCACTGTGAAATTGAATAACAAATAAAAGCAATAAAGTGTGTACGGTAACCGCCACCCAATAAAAATAAATTCCTTATTCCTTACAACAAACTAAGTTAAACTATGTGATGTGTATATGTAGTGGTACTTGAAGATGGTATAAATTACCTAACTAAGATTCCACTATCTCATCATCTGGCGGAATTTGTCCAGTTCAAATATACTTTCTGACAATCTGCAACATAAATACATACACAATGACAATATAATTTATTCAATTACTATAATTATAATATTCTATGTTGATAAAAATTATCTCACCTTCCAAAAGCGTTGATAAGGGCTACTATTTCAGTTCTCTCCAAAAAGAATTGCCTCTTTGAAAAATGATTTAGCGAAGGTACCCACTTATCGAACTTTCCTGAGAACAAGATGTTCAGTGCTGTACCTAATCCTTGAATTTGTAATTTTCCCCATAATTTGCATTTATCACACCCTACACAGTCCATGATACGGGATATATTTCTGAAGTGTTGTCTAAATTCCTCTTTCAATAATTGTGCTTGCACTCCACCATTGAACATAACACTTTCATTGAAGTGGTCAGGAAATGATCTGAAATGCACGCATTGGAATTATAAACATAAATTCATAAAATATTGAAGAACCCTGGTATACATTAATAAAACGTTAAAAATATTATAAACATAATAGCTCATAATACTTACTTAATAACTTGTAGGATATCTTTAATTGCCAGTCTTGTATCTTCATCGTCACTTTCGTTACCAGTATAATATTCCTCTCTTTCTAAATATGGAGCAGCCTTGGCAAGAGCGCGCAATTCAAGCAAGTAAACGAAGTACAAATTTTTTAACCAGTTAGGTCCTTCACCTCCAGTTGCCTCAGGTGCAAATCGTTTTTGTAATTCTTTCAAATTAGGACCCCATTGAGCACTATCGCATACTAAATCAAGGCCGTCTTTTGATGACAGTAAATATTTCGAACATAAATGTATGTTGATGCTAGCGTGTAAGCCAGATATGACTCTATAAAATACTCTCTTCTCTAAGCACATTCCTGGAAAATAACCACGTGACTTATAACATATAATAATTAATGTTTAGCATTCATTTGAAAAGAATCTTACCGTTTACTTTTGATGACTGAATAAAATTATTTGGAGAATTTTCTGGTCTAAAATTACATATTGCAATTAGAAAAAGCATGTACAAGTCATATACTGTTTCAGATAGAACAAAGCAGAATTACCTGAAACAGTTTTCCATATATATACTTCTCCATATCCTATGGGCACTATGTCCTTTATAGCCTGTATATCTTTCAGGGTTAAGTAATAGGTCCACATATTCTCCCTCACTTGATTCCTGTACACAAAAATTATCCTGAGCATTGTCGTGCTGTTGCCAGAGTTCAAATCCTTTGTAATTCTCAGAACTGAAAATAACAATTACTTTATATTTAATGACAGGAACACATGGTAGGAATTGTACATAACGTCATATTGTTAATGTCAACTAATGATCTAACTTCCATCAAAGCCATAGATGATCACCTAATTGTGGTATTCAAGTAACCGAGCTCTATATTATGATCGTGAGCCGTTTGCTCGCAGGATGTTAATTGCGCTGCCATGTTGTATTTATCCGCAGGGCTTTCGTTAAAGTGGCTGTGCCCTGAAACATCTCCTTTCAGTCCTGGAGGAATGTCATCCTGTAAATAATAACAATCGATATTAATATTTAATATTATCGTTCAAGTACATCCATGAAACATTGAAGTTTATCTTAATATACTATTATCAATCCTTATTTGAGCTATTCTATATTTAAAAAGTGATATTAATTTACATCGTCACAAGGTTGTATATGGCAATATCTGATTGCGCATTTACTGTCATCTGCCCAAAACGGACACTCTTGCTTAAGATTAACCTTGTAAAATCTGAAGTAATCTTTGACTAGGAGGCTCTGAAGCCTAGGATAGATCCTCATGTTATTGAAATAGTCCACTGTGTCGACATTACAACTGCAATCGTCGATAGATCCTTTGAGCTGTAATCAAACAATTTACAAAGCGTTATAAAATGATTTTTCCTAGGCAAGACACGTTGACATGATACAGCTGTGACTTTGAAACAATATGTCGAGGGTGACTAATTTTACAATCTAGATATAGATCTAAAATAAAGTACTTTATCTAATTTATTGTTTTTGTAATACATACCTTACAAAAGCACTGGTCATTTCCTTCGGTATTTACATTAAAGTAGTTACCATTTACTAGGGAAGAAAAGAGCAACATCGGCAGGACCATGCTGCATGACATTATACCACAGTGTTTCATTATTGACATGAGGAAACCACTGACACTGTCCCTTCTGCATTAATTGGTCGCTGATAAGACTGTCAGGCAACGATTCTCGAACTGTCAACTGTCAGCCTCATTGGGAAGCACTACGTGCTACACGCAGTCATTAAAAAATAATCGCAATAACCGAACGGTACCATCACGACTTTATCGCAGACGATAATAGCAGATAAGCCGTCACTGCCCACGTAAACCAGGGGCCTCTGTTAATCGAAAACTCCAATTTGACGATAACGTCATTAATCCGCCCAACATACGGAAAACGCGTGGCTCGTTTCAGCTCGTTGTTAGTAGAATGTAGTAAAGAGTGCCCATGCTCTATGTTTCGCAGCTAACGACAAATTCCTAATGTCTGTTATCGCCTAACGGCTTTCTATCAAAACTATTCCACAATTATTATAGACATGCTCCTTGTGGCATAACAGGTTCCGACATTACCCACTGACGAATCACTCATGATACAATGTCGTGTTTAAAATTCTCTTTCAAATGCATTTGGCTCGAAACTCTACCAAGTTTTTTTATCGAAGTTATCTATTCATCCATTTATTTCTTACCGGTATTTACCGATTCAAGAAATGCGACAAAAGATATAGGACAAACATATAGGAAATGAAAAGGGTGATTTTATATATCCGAAAGTATACGTGATAAACATTTTCTTGTAATACTTAACTAGATAAGATCTAATACACTCGTATTGTGTCTGTCGATTTCATTACAGTCTTTATTATAGTCCTAAAATTTAAAGATAGAACTACAGTTATCGTAGAGACCGTAAAACACTAATAAATTGAATTCATTTAACAATGTAGAAATACGATGAAGGAACTGTATGTACATACATGTCAGTGACGTCACATTCTTGAGATGCCGCATAAGTAATTGGGTTTAATCAGAGATGGCACTTCATCCTTTGTCCCGCTGCTGAAATGAATCGGGTATGTATATATGTATGAGCTACCTATAAATTCCACGTGAATACTTTGTGCCGAGTATGTCCTTCTATGGATATCCATATCCTTGGGTCCGGCAAATAACAAGATAACCTCAAATACATAAAAAGTTCGAAAGTTCCAATCCTATAATAAAGATAATTGATGAAGGTTGAGACAAAGTTAAGTTTATAGCATAAAACTTGAAACAAGAAATATGAGACTTTACGCAACATTGCTCTCCCGTATGGGTGAACTTTCCAAAAAGTATTCTAATTTACCGGATAGTTACATAAAACGCGTCACTGAACAGGTACGTTGATGTTTTACCAAAATTGTTATTCCAATTAAAAGTCAACATAACATCCGCGAAGTTGTAACTTATACAATTGTGATGCAGGTCTATTGGAGAACTCCAAAAGGGCCACAGTATCTTCCCCGTACGATAGAAAAGACAGACTTCCGTTTTACAACAAACCGTCCATGGACCCAAGAATTCCGTCAACAAAACAAACAGCATGAGCGACGCAAGTTTGTTCACGTCGAACCTTTGAAGGATTGGAACTTTTTCCGTGGTGATCGGGTAACCTTATCATATTGATGCATAATACTGAGTCATGCAACTATTTTATTAAATACCGCTTCAAATTATAGGTTGAGGTATTAGTAGGACATGACAAAGGAAAGCAGGGAATTGTCAAAATGATCTTTCAGGAGAGGAACTGGGTAATAGTGGAAGGTCTTAATACAGTTCTGAAACGTGTAGGGAAAATCAAAGAATTTCCAGGAATGCTAGTTAAATTTGAAACGCCATTATTAGTTACAACTGGGGTTAAACTGGTGGATCCAAGTGACCTGTAAGTATTAAAGCTTTTTGTAAATTTGAATACTTTAGAAAGATTGTATAATTTTATTTAACCTTGAATGATTTTAGGCAAGCAACTGACATCGAATGGAAATATGATAATGCAGGAGTACGAGTACGAGTATCTACTCGAACTGGTAGAATAATACCAATACCAATAATGAATCAAGAAACGATAGATTACAAGACTCCTCGGCTTTACAAACTCAATGATAAGGATACACACCCCAAAGAAATTACAAAAATTACATTTAAGGTATATGGCCCAAAAACTAAATGTTACTTATAAATTATTTGCGATAATAATTCATATACTTAAATAATCTGGTCAATTATGTAATGTTCTCTTAATTTATCATAATCATAGTAATCACTTGTTTGACACATTTCAGCCCAGTTTAAAAACTTTTGAAATGGACTTAATGGACAAGATGGGAATAAAAGAAGAGCGTCACAGGAAACCAACTTATTGGTATTAGAATTTTTTAATACAAATTAGTTATAGTTAAAAAGAATACTTTCTGGTCACGCATTCATGGATAATTTTATAATTTAAGTACTTACATGAAGAAATAAAAATTGACAATGCACATACAATATCTTTATGGTAGTTTTCATTTAATCAATTAATTGTTTATATAGATGAATGAAAGTTAGGATACTTCTAATTTATTTAGATAGAAATGAAGGAATAAAATCAGCATAATTTTGAAAGTATAACATTTGTTTGTCCAGTATATAATGATTATGAGCATTCAATAGATACAGATAGCAATGAACGATTAACCGGAAAGGAATGTCCTATAAATAAAATGATAGCACATACGATCCTTCGAGATTATAATTACGCATTCTACTCAGCATTTCGATACTCGATGTTTGGATTGGGTAATATTTCCAACTTGCATGGGTGTCGGTTATCTGAAACGGTCGTCCGATTTGCGATGTGATGACCACCCTAGCGATCAATTATTCAATACAACTTAATGGGACACTAAATAATAAATTACAGCAGAAAATAGCATACACCGTATTAGTTTGCTCAAGTACTAATAAATTACTTAAAGAATGATTTAATCCGTATACTGTAAACAAGTCGACGATAAAAAATAACTCAGTAAATTATTTTCCTATTATTCTTCTAGCTGCGTTTGAACAAAATCTAAGGAACATCTTTCATGGTAGCAGTCGAGTATCGCTAATTCAATTTCGCCGAAGTGTCGGCAGTGTCCTGAAGATATAAATTTTATTCTTGTAACTCTATCCATTCCTTTCGCAAATACACGCGTCTACTCCTTTCAACCACACTCGAATGACAATAGCCGTGGTGGAGAAAAAAGGCGCTGCTAATGCAACCACTGAAGCTATTTAAGGTAGCCGCTGCTTCCTTAACATCGATTCGCACGCTCAACATTAATATTTATCGTACACGATAGTCCTTACTTAACAACGTATTAAACATTGCTCGTACAATCTCCATATCGAAAATTATTAGTTCCTACTAGGCACTTTTATCGCGCAATTTTTATTTCTTATCGGCGCGAGTGTTGATATGCCACAGTTTGGTAGAAATGCTGATCAAAAGACCTTATCATAGATCCTGCTGGTAAGTGAATTGTTTGACTGACTTTGTTTAATTTGTTAAGAAATCTTTTCACTAAGTAGTTATTCAGATCGCGGCAGTGCCACTCGTTAAGCTAGGTCGAAAATATTAAACCGAGTGCAGGAGAGATACAGCGGCAGCGATTACGTTAGCCTTACCCTTTATCTCTCCTGTGGTCTATATTATGTCTAAAGAACGGACTTGATCTGTAAATAAATATTCGGTATCTTATAGTTTACACAACAGACTCCGTCCGGTCACTGCGAGAGGTGCAAATCAGTAGTTTGACTCGCGTCGGCTCGTCCACGTTGAAATTCCGATGCTCTCTGCAGTCGTTTACCTGGGCTGCAAGTGATTAATCAGAGTTGCGTTAACGTGTTTTATCGTGTCTATCATACTGCATTAACGGGAAACAATACCAAGGGGAATTTATTCCAAGACAAAACAGGGAAAGGGCGGAGGAGCTAATATCGCTTGAACTAAGTTTTCAGATTTCCGCGATTAAAATCCGCAAGGCCTTATCCGCGTGTCACGCTATCGGTAAGCAGAGTATAAGACTTTTGTAAAAATTCCGAAAAAGTACTATGCTCAGTTTATCGCTTACGTGTCACGAAATAACCATCAAGGATGTACTACAGTTCGCCGGGGTCTTCTCCTTAGAGTTTGACGATCCCCATATTCTAGCATAACAGCCGTGTTATGTACCGGGCATTATGCTAGAAATATGCGAAGTCGTCAATGCATCTTACAGCGATTAGTGTAACTTTCGCCTCGCTCCTAGATAACTTTCTAAAAAGTAACTCCCCATGGTGTCATGGTCAGTTTTTCTTTAAAAAGAACGTGCATTTCTGCAGATCGACGCGAGAAAGACGACATCGTTGAGACACGCCGTGGCCGCCATTACTCCGAATATTAAGTAATTTATCCTGCATGTGTTGAAGCGATAAAATTGCTTTTATTTTCAACAGCTTTACAACTTTGAATCCGGTAAGGACCTTAGGCGGTAGTTCGACGTTTCTAGAGCAATCTGCTCCGTTCGATACTATTCTCTGTTATGTTCTATTCTCTACGTGAAAATCTACTCTTTTTGTTAACGCAAGAACACAATTCTCTCCAGTGATTCGTCGAGGGTTTTGGGTAGGAAATAATCAGTTTTCTAGGAAAATGCATGAATTAATCTGGCTTTCTTAGTTAATTGGGGAAATCATGAGATGTTTTCTGATCGAAGGTTTCGGGGCAGTTCGTGGATTCATTGTGGATAAAGATAAGGATAAGTAAGGGCAGGGAGCTAGTTTTGGGGCGAGTTTCTTAGGAATATGCTTAGGCTCTAGATATGTAGACTTATCTAAGTATTAATATTATAATAATGATCTAATAGTCGAGTTTAGACGCGTCATCCAACACATGTCTACAGATCTTTCGTCTGAGCAGTCGATAGTCATAGAGCGAGGTCGTTGATTCCCAATTTAAAAGGGTCTCCAGTGATAAGGTGGAGCATTCGAGCGCGTTATCAGCTGCGCGGGAGCCTATCGCGTGACCCAGCACTTCGCATGTAACACGGCTACAATTCCGCAGCAAGTCTGCAAAATGTGAATTGCGAGTTGACGAGTCTTTGCGACGATTCGAAAGAGTCTAATAATCGTTTTGAAAATGGAGGTGGCGGTGGTGGGTGCTGGAATTATAGGAGTGACGACGGCTCTCGCGGTTAAGGAAGCTTTTCCGCAAATTGACGTAACAATTTTTGCGGACGTTTTTACCCCAGGTACAACGGGCGACGGCAGTGCAGGACTTTGGGGTCCTTACATCCTTAAGGACACGTCGGAAGAGGACATTTTGTAAGAGTTAATATTTTGGTTTATCTAGGATTACGCTACGACCGATTAGACTAGATCAGACCAGACCACATCTTGACTGAAAGAAACATATTATTAGACGTGAAAATGATCGAAGTGACGACAGTTTCCACGGTGAAGAATTTTTCCCTGATCCGACGCGGAGTAAATTTTTATTTTAAATAATAGACGTTGGTCAGGGAGGACCCATGAGTGGCTGCAGACATTTTGGACATCGAAGTTCGCGTCGGAAGCTGGAGTCTGTCTAATCCCTGTGACAAGACTCACCAGCAGTGTCAAGAAATATCCAGAGCCAAAATGGGCCTCGAACGTTTACGGCATTCAAGAACTGACTTCTGAACAACTGCGGGAATTAAATGAGGAGCATAAAGCACGTTACACGTGAGAATACCTTTGCTTCAAAGGTTGATAAGTACTAGCTCTATAAAAATCGCTTTCTTTATCTACTCCCATATTAGCGGCGGTTGGCAGTTCCTAACATTCACTTGCGAGCCGGCAAAGATGCTGCCCTGGCTATTAAAAAAGTTCAAATCATTGGGAGGTAAGGTGGTGAAAAGGAAAGTAGAACACTTGGATGAACTATTCCTTGAAGGATATCGGATAGTAATAAATTGCAGCGGCCTTGGGGCTCAAAAACTCGCAAATGATTCCAGCGTCGTTCCTGTCAGAGGACAGATCATTAAAGTAAATTACCAGCTCGTTCATGACATCTAAGTTACCTACTAAAGCGAGATTTCCATAGAAAATGTATTCACTTTGTATGAACCTTTTCTTAGGTCGATGCTCCATGGATGTTTCACACTTACATCGTCGACGACGACGATGGAAATTACATAATTCCAAAGTATGACTTATTCTTACATTTCGATGCAATTTTTGTTCCAAGTGTCTGTAAAGCGTTATACTTTGTATGGTTTTATGGTACTCATAAAACATGTTCCTTTTTTAACATAGCATCGACTTCGTAATTCTGGGTGGCACTCATCAGGAAGGAGATTACGACACGAAAGTTCGTGAAACCGATTCGCGGTTTATCTACGAAGGGTGCTGCCGAATGGAACGCTCATTACGGGTGATTATGGCAAATTGTACCGATTAGACTTTTACTTAAACATAGTTCTTTATTAATTATAGAAAAGCAAAGTTCTGACGCAATGGGTAGGTCTCAGGCCTGGAAGACAGCAAGTACGTTTAGAAGTTGAAAACCCACGGATTGTGAATGGCCTAAAATGTGTGGTAATGAGACATAAATTTCGAGACATGAATCATAAGAGAAGTTTTTATCGTTTAAATGTAATTCCGTTTCCTGACTTTAATCGGCAGATTGTACACAATTACGGGCACGGGGGAAGTGGAGTGACTTTGAGTTGGGGATGCGCCTTGGACGTCGTCGAGATCGTAAGGAAAATACAGAATAATGTATTCAACTCGAAGTTGTAATCAATCGGTCGGTAATAAATCCTTATGTCAATTGCATTTCCAATATAATCGGGTACTGTATCTTTAAAGAGGCTATTTTGCGAACCGGGACTTACTCTGCGCTTCCATTTGCCACATTATTTATCAGACCATTATCCGTTTTCTAAGTAACTAACCCTAAGACAGTGCACGTCGGAAAAGTGGCATTGTCCGCTGCCCCGCGTAATAACTTTCAAGGACCGTAATGGATTCGTGCATATAATTAGTCGTAACGAGGCAAGAGTCGGAGATCAAAATGTCCCCCTGTACTAGGCACCTGGGTCTATTCTAATGCTTGCTCCTTGACCCTCCGCATTCCGTGTAATTACTTAACACGGTCGATAAAATCTAATTATAAACCGCACATTTCCGAATTGCATCCCGAAGAGTTAGTAGTACTTAGACAAGGGTCGCCGGAGTTGAAACCCTGGAGGGTGGCACATTTTCGGACCTGCGAGAGACCCGGAAGAAGAAGAACGCGTCATACTTAGAACCCCAATCAAGCCTACGAAAACAATCATCTCCCAGGTAATTAAGGTATATCCTGAAAATGTTCATTCGCATCGCGTAATATCGAGGTGCCAAATTCAAAGCCTTCCTTTTCCAGCACCTGATCAGAGACGTCGATGCCGAAATGACAATTGAAGCGAGGCCCGCGCTCGGACCGAAAACCGGATAAATTATTTCTGAAGTAAGGAACCGCAAGACATTAATGACCCGCAATTTCGCAGGAGTTTTCGGGTGTTGTGACAAATTAAAGTCATCGATGACCGATTCGCCGGGCCTCGTTCGAGGACTCCATCCGAGTTGATCTCCGAGAGGAGGAGATGCGCCGACGAGGTTGACAACGACGAAAAGCAGGTCCCTTTTCCGGCAAGTGTCGAAAACCCCAAGGATAATGCCAAGCGATCATGAACGTCACCGGAGGTAACAAACGTCCTCTGATAGTCCTGCGCAAACTCTACAAGGACGATCGGCCGAGGGAGGAACTTTTAGGCAGCGGAGACAGCAGTGAGTCGGACATCGCGATCGAGCAACGATCGACCAAGCCCGTCATTCCCGAGTATAGAAACCAGGTCGTGTCCGAAACCCCCTCGGACGTGGTTCGAGAGGCCGAGAAAAGTCAAGGCGATCCTGGAAAAAATGATCCCCCCATCGCGGACCCAGCGACGACAATCTGCGCCGGCGAGGATAAAGGTAGTTCCTTAATTCTTTTGGAGCGGCAGATTTTTTTACGGATCTCCGATCGTACCGATCGAAATTTTTCAGTCCTCCAGATTTACGGCTCCCAAGTGTTCTTAAAATTTTCAGGTGTTCCACAGGTGGAGGCGGATTCGAATTTCGGCGGGCCAAGGAGGAAGAAGCGAAGGTAGAGCTCTTTGCGCGAAGAAGTTGCCAACTGGTTGGGAACGGTGACCGACCATGACCGCAAATAAGAAATCTCGTCGCTCCTCTCTCGTTCCTCTACTAAAGTCGGTTCAATTCGTTTACAGTCGGTTGTTTCTTGACAGACTTTTAACAATCTGTACGATCAACTGTAAGTACGAGGTGGTTAGAAGAGTGGCCGCGCGTTACGGCATGAGGGAGGTCACCGAAGACAGTAGCTGGAACCTCTATTGGACCGACCTGAGCATCAGCGTCGAGAGGGCGAAGGAGATGAAGAGGTTCCAGAAGATCAACCACTTCCCCGGGATGACCGAAATATGCAGGAAGGACTTGCTCGCGAGGAACTTGAATCGTATGCTCAAGATGTTCCCAAAGGATTACAATTTCTTCCCGAAAACCTGGTGTCTTCCCGCGGAGTAAGTCTTTGGCGGAAACTCTTTCCAGCTTCTGAAGTGGATGTGAAAATAACGTCTGAAGAATCAATCGTTTACGACATTTTTCTGCAAATTGGGTGTACCAAATAGTGTCAAACTTTATGGATACAAGTATAGAGGCTATAAAGAAGATCCTGTTCCCTATGAAATTTCAATTTTTTTTAATTTCTTTAGACTTTTTAATATTTTTTACGAAAATCGAAATTTCATGGGTGTCATGACCTACCTTATAGCCTCCATATTCACGTCGTAAAACGTTTCGTAAACGAAAAGTTGCACAAACGAGATCTCTTTGAAACCACTTTCGCGTCACGTTATTACCGAAATTTCAATTTTTTCCCCCAGCCATGGAGACGCGATTGCTTATGCAAAATTGAAACGCTCGAAAACGTTCATCATTAAACCAGACACGGGCTGCCAAGGTCGAGGGATATACTTGACAAAGCATTTGAAAGATGTCAAACCCTACGACCGCATGATCTGTCAAGTTTACGTCTCCAGAGTGCGTGTCGATTCCAAATACAGCGATAATTAATAGAATTAAGCCTCAGCTTTTGATTTCATTGTCCACAGCCTTACTTAATCGACGGCTTCAAGTTCGATCTTCGGGTATATACCCTGATAACGTCATGCGACCCCCTAAGGATCTTCGTGTACAACGATGGCCTCGCAAGGTAATCATTCCGCGTTTATACCGTAACCGTATCGTTACTTTCCGAAGATAGCCCTCGATAAATCAATTCTCTTCAGATTCGCGACCAGTAGATACAAGGAACCCACGGGGCACAATACATCGAACGTGTTCATGCACTTGACCAATTACGCCGTGAACAAGCACAGTCGAATGTACGTGGTGGACGACGAAGCGGGGAGCAAACGGTAGGTTTACAATTTATTTACAATAAATTAAATTAAATCCGAGTAGAAAGATAACGCTATGGTAATTCACTGTCCAGGAAAATATCCACCCTGAACAAGTGGCTGAAAATGAAGGACGTGAACGTGGAGGCCCTATGGACGAGGATCGACGAGATCATCATAAAGACGATCCTGGCGGCTTATCCGATCCTGAAGCACAGTTATCACACATGTTTTGCGACACACGACATGACATACGCATGTTTCGAGCTCCTGGGGTTCGACATTCTCCTCGACTGGAAGTTAAAGCCGTACCTTTTGGAGGTGCATTCTGTACTAATTATCGGGGAAAAAAGCGCATTATCGGATAGACAATCGGCGACCGGGCGAGTACTTGGCGCGTATTAATTAGCATATTCGACGAATACCAGGTTAACCACTCGCCGAGTTTTCACACGGACGCGCAGATAGACAAGGACGTGAAGGAAGCTCTCCTGATGGATACCTTCGAGATATTGAACTTGCAACAGTGCGACAAGAAGAAGATTATAGAGGAGGACAGAAAACGGGTCAGAGAGAGACTGCTGCAGGGAATCGCTCCGAAGGACCCCGGGTAAGGAAAATGGTTTGCCGATACCCGTTCTTAAATCGACCGCTCGATAACGATCCTCCTAAGGGGACCTCCGATTCGATGGTCGAGTTCAATGTTGCAATGATTCCGGACAGCTCCAATGAAAGCAACGGCGAGAGGCCGGAGTCGGACCCGATACAGATGCAGCACAAGTGGGAGGACGAGCACATGGGTAACTTCAGGAAAGTCTACCCGGGACCGAACAGTTACAAGTTCAATGTCTTCTTCAAGCAGAACTGCACCTCCATGTTCCAAGAGACGGCCGCGTCGAGGGCTCGGGAAGAAGCGGCGAAAATCCAGCGAGAAGGGGCCGAGGTGAGAATTGTCACCTCACCTGGGAGCCACCCGGCTCTAAGTTGACTTTAAAAAGGTCGCTGTCGCCCTAAAGAAGAAATTTAAAGGATTCATTTTAAAAATTTCTAAAAATTCTACGTTAACTTTACTTCACTTTACTTAATGGTTGGTGGCTAATGGTTGAAATAACCACTTTTTGTTATTTATTTATGTAGAACCCTATTCTTCCCTCTTGAAATAGTGTTAATTGTTTAATCTTGTAGCACGCGAGTTAAGTACAGTTTGGCCGGCCACGAGTAATGGATTGTTGTGACACTTGTAGAGACGATGCCGTTTTCACAGAGTGGAGACCTAACTCCGGGTGAAAATTTTCAGGATACGAAAAGATCCAGTCAGGAATTCATGTTTCAGTCGAAGCAGCGGGAGCAGGAGGCCAAGAAGATCCTGGGGAAGTGGAGCGATCAGAGGGCGCGTCCTGAGAGTCCTGGTCCCGCGAAGAAGCAGAACTCCGCCGTTTCCAGCCACTCGGGGAACAAGGTTGCGACAGCCCCGAGGAGGAGCTTGCAGTCGGCTCCTGTTGCCTTCACCCCCGTGGTCCCGAAGTCCTCGAAGGTTCACCGACCTCGCTGATCAGTTCGACCTTAGCTTAAGACCGGGAAACTCGATCGGCCCTGCCGATTGGCTCGACTTTTACTTAAGACCGCGAAGCTCCATCGACCTCGTCCAGAAATTCGCCACAAATCACGTCAGGTCGACGAGAGCTTCCCTTTCCGTTGTCTATCTCTCGCTGCTTCCAGCTACACGCGCCAAGGTCCCATCTCTGGGGCCAAATAGTCACTCGGAATTGACGTTTATTGGCAGATGAAAATGGACCCGGTGAGCGTGGACAACCTTCCTCGCTCTTTCTCCCCCGAGATGATATGCGAGGCCGAAGAGAGGGAACGCATTGCCGCGCTGGCCCAGAGAGACCTGCTGGTCAGAAGTTACGGCCTTCTCGAGCAGGTCTACCTGGCCATGAAGAGGAACGGCACCCTAAGGTCCGCCGACGAGAAGAAGTACGGACTCTACGGTAAAGTCGGCTACGTCGACGAGCTTTCACGAGCGGTGATCGGTGCGAATCGAAACCTGGCCGCTCTCTCTGAGAACCAGCGGACTCTTCGGCAAGGTTTTCGGCAAGGTCTTCAGCAAGGTCTTCAGCAAGGTCTTCGGCAATCCGCGGCCACCCACGTCACGGCCAAGTACGACTCCCTGGTAAATGGTCACTCCACCCTGAAGACGAACACTCTCCAGCTGAACGAGGTCCTAGGAAAACCGTTTTAGTCCCGGTATCCAGATCTGGTGGAACGTCGATGATCCCTTTACCTCACTTTGCCTCTCTTCATGGATTCGCGACCCTCTGCGAGTTTCTCGGACTGGTGCGAAACGTGAGTCCTACGGGTGTCCCCGGTCTTCGATCGATGCGCGATTTTTTGGAGATGGAAGAAAACCTCAGACCGCATCGGTCGAAGCTTGGACCCGAGTGGTTACTTGCAGAGATATGTCGAATTAATCAAGATATCTAAACTAAGGGTCTAATTGCTTTCGAGGTTTTAGGTTTGGCTCGCAGGTGTTTGCAGGCTGGTCCAGATAGGGCCGAAAATTCGCGGCAAATTTTGGATCGATGGCAGAACGTGAACGACCAAGACGGTATTCGGGAGGAATTGCCTGATTTTGAAAATTAGTCAAGAGAGCTGATCAAGCTTCGCCCTGTTTCGAACCTGATACGCCGCCTAGGACATTAATTAAAGTAGGTGGTAGCTGAGGAAAAGTCGATCGACTTCAACGGATGAAGAGTAAGAATCGGTGGAGGATAAAAGGCACTTCAACGTCGGCTTAGAATGGAAAAAATATCTATTATATTACACCCGCAAATAAACCGTGCACTCGATCGGTCGTTGCACCGTCGCCTCGGCGGTATATATCCAAATAAGATTTATACATATTTAACAGAAGCGATCGTTCCTTTTATATAGATGCCTTTGTGTACAATAGATGCTTAAAATATACATAAACGTAAGGTCCTCCTCCTCGACTCGAGCGTCGAGTATCGTTCGCGTGCCGACCAATACTTGCATCGTTGTACGGTATGAAAAACGCTAAGAAAACGGAGATACGGCTAAGAGAGAGAGACGGTAGTAGAAAAAGTTACACCAAGAAGCAAACGAACGAGCTTTCTCCGACCTGCCGCACCGTGTAAAAAATCTCTCCTGGTTATTCCACTGCGCGCGGTTCCCTACGTATCGCGCTCGGAATATTCTCCCAGAGAATCTGGAGAATTATCTCGAATAAAAGCGTCGCCATTGTCCACGTGAATACCAACTATGCTTTCCTCTACGAATTGCGAGAGCCTCGTCGAACGACACGTAACACAGGAGCGCGTCCGAATTTTTGCCTGTCCACCTTTATGTACATAAAGTAAATGCATACATGACGATCTATAATGGTATAACAACGTTTTATTGCTGATATATATTTATATATATATAGACTTTTGTATTCACATGATAAAAAATAAACTATTAACAATTTGTCGTGAGTCGAGCTTTATAGGTCTCGCTGTAATCGCAGAGATTAGGGCGTGTAACAGTGCTTTACATGCGTAAAATGCCTCGATGCAAGTACTCGTCGCGAGCGTCGCGTTCCGGCCGGTGCATTATTTATGTTTTTGTTTCTTTTTAATTATTTCTTCCCCTCTTAGAATTCTGTACAAGATCCAGGATTAATCCGACAGGTCACCCCTTTGATCCAGGCCGCCGGCGAACGGGATTGAAAAGGTGCACGCCGTTGGAAGTTGCGATTAAAAATGATGTACCTCGAGGACCCGATTATCCTGCATCGCAAAATCGACCCACCAATTCCGGCTACGTGTCGCGACCTCGTGTCGTTAATGAAAATATAAGAGGCGTAAATGTATGCATGCGAAATTTACAAATGTGAATTTCAAAAGGTTACACGTTTCCTTCCGTCTAGATGAAAATCATTACCTAAGGGAGACGTACCGCGATGGCTAATATGACTCGGTACCGTGTTTTAGGATTTCGGGGCTGCGCATCCTCGATATCGTCGCCAGGATTACAAATTGCATTGCTATGAGGAGTATGATTATCGCCGTGTAAACCTATCCGAAATGTAATCAACGAGTGGACGCGCGATGGACCTCCGTGCTATTTACAAGTCCCCTCGAGATGAAGCTTTGGTATTTTTCTCATTATTTTCCTTCCTCGTATTCCTTACGCCAGAATTATGCGTTTTATTCCAGCCCAGCCCCCGAATCCGTGTAATCCAATGTTCGTTATTTAATATGTACACGAAGGTATGGTTATGAATGTTACGATAGCTGGCTCCTCCTCCATCAAAGTCCTTACGAGATACGGGGAACTTAACTATAATAATGTAAATGTCCTTCCCAGAATATTCTTATTCAGGTCTTTAAAATCCAAGGTACAGGTTTTGCTTCATATCTCCTCGCGGATTACTTATCAAAGTGCGAATCTATTAAACGTACGGGGATCAAAATGTCTTCTTGTACACAACATCCATTACGCAGGTACCAATGATTTGTCAGGAGAGACTGCGTGTACGCGTTACCGTATCTTCAACGCCTGTGATAAAAGAAATCACTTGAAAATTAACTTAACATTCAACGTATACGATTCGTCCATGCCGTTGACGCAGTGTACAGGGAGTGAAACGAATTCGATATAATTGTAAACATAAATATTTATTTGTATAAATACTTGTAGTCATTGAATTTTCGAAGTGTAGTCGGGAGAATTTTGACATATAACATTACTCTTTGAATTCAGGTCAATTTGTATTAACTGTACATACCCTAGCATGTAATCGTTACAAAGCTACGTATCTGCTAAACTTTAGCATTAAGTTATCGCAATATCTACATACGTAGAGAGCCTTTCTTTTTTTTATTTCTTTATATCCATAATGTAAAAACGAAGGCGATTGGTACGTCGAAGACATAGCAATTTTACGCAAATATAATTCGTTTGTAATGGATATTGTGTAGAGCGACGATACACGACATTAACGCGAATGCATCAAATTTACATTTTCACAAAAAGTACACATCGTCGTGGTCCACAGGAGCCACGTTAATCCTCCCACTAAGAGGCATTTCTTTCCTCTGGCAGAATTACTAAATCCCTTTCGACAGATTCTTATTAATGTTGCTTCGTGTTTCTTTTTCTTTTTACAGGAAGGGACATCATGATTGCCTAAGAATTAAGACCTGAGAACGCTCGCTTGCTTACTCCATCGACTACTGAAAGTGTCGTTTCGAGCAGCAAGCGACATTCTACAAATCAGAAACCTTTTTAGATTCTCCGTGCTTCCCCATCTGATGGTGGGACGGATGAACTCGATGAAGAAAAAAAAAAAACAAAAAAAAGAGAAGAGCAAATAAGAGATGTTACATCACAGAGTTGCAGGCTCATCTTTTTCTACACGCATCTTTGGGTGTATCTCTGCCGCGTCTTCGACGTTCAGTTCTGTGTTTGAAAGAACGTTAACAAGCTGACCACGGCTTGCCGTGAACAATAAGAAATGGAAAGAGGACAATGTACGTGCGTATGTGCGTGGTGGCAATGATAATCTATTCGTTGTAATACTAATATGAGCATTATGCAGTATAGGATCCAGGGTTAATCGCGCGTAATGTTCGCTAAAAGTGTACGAGTAAAGTAAAATGCGGTAACGTCCTAAACGTTAAACGATAAATGGCTATGCCTCACGTGTATATAAACAAGAAGGACTATACACAATCTCCGCGGACCCGTTAATTTGATATTAGCTGCCGACGGAATTTAAAGCAAAAACAAAAAAGAAGGGTATTAATTCCACCCCTATAGTAGCCATTTTCCTTTCTATTTTTCTTCCCCTTCTGTAATACTCGGTCATCCGTCCTGTATATCAATCTAGCGTCCATCGGTATAAAAAGTCTGGGCTATTTGCGATCGTCATAGCAATTTTCCTTAAAGAATTTAAAAAAAGAAAAGACGTAAACATCCTGCTGCGCGCTCTCTCTCTCTCTCTTTCTCTCGTCGACTTTGTACACTTTCACGCTCGTATTTCTTTCCATCGCTCTCTTAAATATAATTTTGCTTCCATTATCATTATAGTTAATGTACAAAGGTTTGCCGTTGTTCAATGCCTCGCGTGTGATCGACTAATGATTCGGCTGGTTTCGGGTCGGCGTACCGTAAAACGCCAGTAGATTACAAGTAATTACAAGTACTGTTAAAATCACGTGAAAAGAGATATAAAAAAAAACCAGGATCAATTCGCGCGTGCACTATCTGCCTGACATTCTCCGAACGACAAAACGCAATGCCAACCAATTGTACAACGTATCAAGCTATCAGTCGTTGAGAATGTGTTGATTGTTCCGAGAAATCCCGGGGAAGCTGCTTCTTCGACACAAAGCAGAAGTTAGATTACAGGCGGCGTCGGTGCGGTAATACCGGATCTTATCAGCGCCCCACGCATATTCGAAATCTCTGCCGTTAATGTGCGTATCTTTAGACATCGAAAGATCTGAATTAAGTGCACCGGCGACACCGCTGTACTTTGATCTTGAATTTCTAAAATTCAATTTAGACCACTCGTTTTCTAAAAAATGTCATCTCCCCTGAAGTTCCGATCGGCCTCTTCTTCCCCCTTTTCTCTTTTATATATATACATATATGTATATATAAAATGTATTTCACAATACGTCGGCCTTAGTGTCGAATAAATTTCGTTTCGTTCAATGGTTGAATCGCGCGACCAAGCCGAGTAGTTCGGCTCGGCTCAACTCCAAATACGTTTTTGTACGAGCCTATTTCGTTCCTATTTAGACACTTTCGACATCCCCTGTGCGCTGCTCGTAACGATATCCTAATTTCTCAACAAGTTAAAGCTAGAAAGTTATTAACAAACAGTGTATCCGTAGGTATGCACAAGGAGCGTATGCACGCACGTTTTCCCTTGGTTTCCTTTCCTCGCACTTTTTACATCCTCTGTAACCGCGAGCGCGCGATATGTGCGTGTCGGGGGGGCGGTATGGAAAAACATTAACAAAGTGTGACTCGTACGCCGTAACGACGACGAACCGTGAGGTGTTATGGCTTGAATTTAACCAGGGGTATGTTTTTCGACTGTAAGCACTTATCGCACACCCACTCCGCGTATACTTCTTGCGTTAACAATTGATAAGCCGCCTCCGATAATCCTGTACAGCCTCTGAAACATGACGCGAGAATTACGGTTCCTTCGCGTTCACGTACGAATTCATTGAATCAATGATCGATTGACTTGTCGAAAGCAGTTCATAAGATTATACGATTAATCCCACAGCTACGTTAACACTCTCATGGGTGAGAGTGCAAAGGTCTGTTTACGAATTCGGAATAATAATCTCAAGAGACGTCCGAACAAAATTCAAAAATGATACTGCCCACTTACCGATGAAACCAAAAGTTACAACCCGATTCGCAGAGGATGGCTTGATCGTTATCGTGCACCTCTTTGTGACAAACACCACAGGGGTAAATAGGAGGAGCATTCGGGTTTTGGGGATTGAAAACCATTGGCTGATCAGGCGGATAAATCTGAAAATATACGGTAACAGAAAATTATTCACTCACGGTTTAAATAAGTGCGATACGGGGGAAATTGGATGCAGATACCTTTCCTGCGGAGACTGGCATGGGTTTAGGCCCCATTCCTGGTGGGCCTTGAAATCCATGTGGCGGCATCGATCCTCCTATATTAATTGGATGACCCATTGGAGGGCCACCTCCGATATTACTTGCCATCGACACCATAGGTCCACCGATATGTCCCATCTGATTGTGATGACCCATGTTCATATTGGACATCGTATTCATAGGTGGGCCTCCCATGGACATGTTGTTAATTTGATTGGGCCCGGTAATATTCATGTTATTCGATACCATTGAGCTCATAGTCGTCATTGGTCCATTGATAGGCCTTCCCAAGTTATTCATACTGTTTCCCATGTGGTTTGGATGAGGTTGAGGCCCGTTATGACCAAGTGGACTGTTCACGTTGTTCATCGATGGGCCATTTAATGGACTATTAGGCGGTATGTGACTGTTCATGTTGTTCATGTTCAGAGGTCCATTACTCATGTGATTCGATCCACCCATGCTGTTCATAGGAGAGCCCAATGGTCCACCCATAGGACTACCCATGCTGTGCCCCATGTTATTCATTGGACTTCCCATGGGCCCACTGTTCATATTGTTCATTGGACTGCCCATGGGTGGACCACTCATTTGGGAATTACCCATGTGACTTATGTTCATATGATTATTCATAGAATTCATTGGTCCCGGAGGCATGTTTGGACCCATGTTGTTCATGGGACTCATGCCACCAATCGGTGCATGGTTCATAGGGGACATACCACCCATATGGTTCATGTGATTTCCCATTGGAGAATTTCCCATGGGACTCATGCTACCCATATTGTGAGGCATCATTGGGCTCATACCTCCGATCGATGCCAGAGGACTCATGCCTCGCATAGGTGGTCCTCCCATATGATGGGGGTGATGAGGGTGCATGTGCGGTGGACCTCCGTGCATCATTGGACTCTGCGGGGTTTGCGGAGGGGTATCATCAAAAGGATTACTCGCAACTATCGTGTCTCCATATCCTGTTAATGGTGGGGGAAGTAAATCCTGGAAAAAATTTAGATCATTATCGTTTCACATTTTCATTTTTTTATGCTGCTTAATTAAATGTATAATAATAAAGAAACCTTACCTGTACAGAGGGAGGCTGCTGAGGAGGTGGTTGAGCAACGTTGGCATTGGTGCGCCTTTTCTTCTTAGGATTGGCACCGGCAAGAGGTGGCGGAGGTGGGTGCGGGTGGGCAGAGGATTCAGGATGAGGGGCATTGGATCCCATGCCTACCCCCATTCCCATACCCCCTAGCGGCATCCTTGCAAAGGGTGGCATGCCTGCAATATTGTGGCTCATCTCCCTCGTTCTCTTCCTTTATTTTATCATGCCTTGGATGTCCCACTACAGACGCCTATTAAATTTCTGGATACCACTATAACCAAACATTAAATGGTGGTTAAGATTGAATCGTTAGAAACACGTATAACACCAATAGTACTATGTTTACGCTGCTCGCATATCTACAATCTCACAAATGATGTTTTTTGTGATTTTGTGGGTAAACGCGATTCGTGCACTTCATACGGGGCTGATCACCATGTGGAGGTGTACGTGGGGGGTGAGGTGAGTGTATTTATATACACGCATATAAATAAATAACTCCAACCTGGACTTATCCCGCCGTCGAACAACGGCAGCAGATAAGTTCCCGCGTCGGGGGGTCTAAAAGCCTCAATCGGTAGTGAATTTCGACTCGAAATGCGTGGGTCCGTTCTTCGAAAAGAGAAGCAAAACAAACACCGGACCGATGCCAGTTGATCGAGATCAACCTAACCTACACGCTTTTCCGCGGCTCGGGCGCAGGGAGTCGCGCACTTCGCAGTTAAGGTTAAGGAAAGGTTAAGGACGCCCAGGGGCAGGAATCTCGTTCGGTTACTCACCGAGGCATTATAATGAGCGAAATACGCCCGTGCGCATCGCTCCTCCAGTTGCCTTTTTGTGCTTTTTTCTGTTTTTTCTTTTTTTTTTTCGGCAGCAACCAACACAGTAGGTTGTGTCGTGCGCCTGGTCACTTCCTCGGCGATAAATCCGCTCGACCGGCGACTGTACTTTCCCGTGTCGGTTCACATATTTCTCGGTGGCGAGCTCGAGCTCCACGCGCACTCGCGAGCCTTAGAAATCCGGTTGAAGCTCGCGGATTACCCGAAATATCTTTCCTCGAGAAAACGCACGCCAGTCTCCCTTCAGGTCGCCATTGTCGCGTTACGCGTGTCCCTGTAGGTGTATTGTTCCGCGTGTAGTTAGTTCGCCACAACCCCTGACAGATGGCGCCACGTGGCGCTGCCGCATCGGCCGGAGATTCTATCGCCTCCAGCGGGATCACTGCGAACCACGCCGGAACAGAAGGGCGCCACTTTGATTGTCCTACCCCGACGACAAAACAGTCGGACAAATGTATCTCGTAGCGCAATTAGGACAGAGTTATAGCGAAGCATGTATCAAATGGCATTATTCTTTTCCTGAAATGGCCTAATACGTGAGATGCCATTTTTTCAAAAGATCACCGAATCGTAGTTCGGAGCATCCACCCCAGAGGGCCGCCTGGGATCTGGGCGAGCGCCGCGCGATACCGTAAGTAGTAGCCATTGAATTCGGTTTTATTACTTACCATTTACTATTATTGAATATTTTATACGAGGTTCCATCATCACAAATATTATGCCACACTTTAGGAGTAAGCACGTTGCCGGGGCCAACGATGCGTAAATGTAAATCGGAAAATGGATAATGGCGCCGTATCCATAAGCCTGTAGGCGCCACTCATATTCCGGATATCGGAGTTGAAGCTATGTCATATAATAAATTCAACTCTGCCGATATTAACAAGTTTCATTTGTCATTTGGAACTGCATCGGCTTTTTGGATGTATGTAGGTGATAGTCCTCGCAATTCACGCAGTCGTACGCGCGGCATAATGCGAATTGTTAAAATTGATTGTACCATTTTAATGCCCAGCCGTGCTCGTAGAGGTAATTCGCGTGAACGAGTAATCAACTTCCCTTCGAAAGAGATTTAAAATAAAAATGAAAGCGGGAGAGGGAGACTTATCTTCTTGATTGAATTAATTTTTCTCGGCGTTGTTTTATCGTGTCCTCTAAGGGATGAGCAAACCGAGGGGTGCGTGAGGAAACCTTTCGGCGTTATAAATAATTTCCCGCCCGATAACCCTTGATGAAGCGATTTTCGTAAGACGTCCTTCGCGGAGTCACGTCTCGGGCCATGATCCATCGCTCGTGCTCCCTAGATGGCTCGTAATTTGTGCAAATCGGTTGCTTCTTATTCAGCGCACGCGTGTGCAGCCGCGATTGATTTGCGCCTCGTTTTTGTTTGGGGAACGTCGCTGTTTGAGGAATCCATTTGCGTTGTTGCGGCCTGCCACATCCTTGCATTTTACTGGACCTCTCCTTAGGCGTTCCAGTTTTCGGTGGCCGGTACTCCGAGGAGCGCCGTCATTTGTCGGGTATTTCCGAAAACCACGTAGACCTCCCATTGTCGACGGGGCTATAACAAATTCTGCTTGATTTCAGAAGATTAATGCGAAGCGACGTAAAAATCGAAATTCCCGGAGATCAGGAGGAGAGAGAGACCGTTTCCGAGCGATTATTCACGAGATACGCGGCCGTCAAAGGAAGCGCAAAAAGCACGAAACGTTTCGTTTATTTTGCCGAGTTTAACCGTCGCCGTTGTGCGGGGCTGCAATTGATGCATCTCGGGGAATATTTTTCACCCCTTGGACAGTTCATCGCGATAGCGGTGCGCATATTTAGCGCAATAATTATGGAGAAGAGGGAGTTTTTACGGAGGGCAGACCGGCCGGGCGCATATATCCATGGGTGAGCTTTTGTTTTAAAGCGTTCTACGTAGAATCTGATTTTGCGGCCGGTTTATAGAAGCGCCGCGGAAAACAAGCGGAAAACGCGGCCGTGACATCGCCGGCACCGAAGTTGACGTTGACGGCTAAATCGTATTCGTCTCGAGCACGCACTGCGTGAAGTAGGTCGCTCGAAATTGTGCAATTATGCAACTGCGAAAAACCGGATGTCTGTCGGTGAAGGCAATAACCCGATGCGTCGTGTCCCGCGGAACTTCCTCCGGGGATAGATGGCTTCGGAATTGCCGAGCATCCGGTCCCTGTAGCATTCCCCAATCACCATATTTTATATATTTCCAGGGAGCCTGAACTACGAAGGACGTATTCACAAATCGACCGCCATCTACGTCTTCTAAGCCCTGGACTGAAATTCCTACTTCTCGGAATTACTCCCCATTACTCGATATCTCGAGTTATTATATGGGCTCGGTATCGGTTCCGAGAGGATAACGAAACTCGACGAGCTTCGGGTTCGGGGAATACGGGAAGTGAATCTACTCCTTCGGTCCGTGGCCCGATGACGTAGAATCGGATGCTTTCCTTGCTTTCACTTAGGCCGGAACAGCTCCGTCTACTCGATGGAGCGTGTCGCGTTCTCGTGAACTTTCACCTCCGCGGTTCCCATTCAAGAGAATTCTAATTTTAAATCCCATCACGCACGAAAGTGCCGAGGGAGGTGCAAGATGCCTCCAGGTGTCGCGGCCGAACGGCAGGAAAGTTAAGAGCCGGCTGCGACGTCGTAATCGTCGCTCGCTTTCTTCGATCGAACTTGGCCAGACCAGATACGAGTGCTCGAATAAATGCCGGAGAGAAGAATCGAATATCCGACGAGTTGTATATTCCTGCGAAAGGGGTCGCACCGGATATCCGAAGTTTATGTTAGAATCCATAAATACGCCGACCTCGCGACGGATGCTCCGTTATTTAGCGCATCTCCCTGTTTTTATTTACGTGTAAATGCTTCAGCTCTCGCCCGGAGATGAAATTAATTTAGGAATGTGAGAGTGCACGGCTGGCGGCTCGCTAATTTAAAGGAATTTCCTCCTCTCGGCACACGAGAGAAATTCTGACCGACGATAAGTGTCGTAAACGCTTTGTCAGAGATGTTAGCTCAAAGAATATGACGCACGGTGAGAGTGAACCGCATCAGCCCGGGTCGAAGTGGTACAAGGCTAATCGGCATCATTTTTTACAGGCTCTTCTATGCGGCGAAAGGATATCACAAGTGTAGCTTAAATAGGCATAAACCGGGCCGTAAAGCGCTTTTTACGGTGGAGTTTCGTAAGGCGTTCCTGGAAATAATTTCCGTGCCTCGGATGGACGGCGCGCTTCCTTCGAGTTTTGTCTTCCCGGAATGAGCGGTGCAGCGAACTCGGCGACAGGTATTAGATGCAATTTGCCGGATTGCCGTCGAAAATCGTTGGGTTTTCTCGTTTACCAGCGCGCCGGCGAGCCTGCTACCGGAGGCTGCATCCGGCGCGACATTGCGAATTCCGTAAGGCCGAATAATAAAGTTCGCGCGTGGGATTCGGGGAATAAATTCGCCGGCGACGAGAGGTGGTTCTTGGCGTCGCGCAAACACGCCGGTGATTTTATCACGGGCCGTACGTGTAATCTTTTCGGGACACGAGGGAATTTTTCCCTGGCGGAAAAGCTGGTCTTCCCGAGCTCGCCCCCGCCGATTCGCCCCCACGACATCGGCCTGCACTTTTAATTGCATTTCGTAACACGGCCTTTCCTTTTCGTGTTATCGTCGTGGACACGCGAGAGGGTAGATTCGATTCAATGTTCTGCACCGGCCAAATCCGCGTTTCACCCCGTTTCCCCGAGTAGCTAATTTCATTGGTCCGAGGCTCGGCGATAGTCCTGAAACGAGAGATACGGCCCGTCTGCCCTGTCAGAAACTTCCCAATACCGTCGACGCTATTTACGATACGGTGACACGGATGTTCCGAGGTAAATTGGATCCAAATATCGCGAGCAATGAGTACCTCCTGTTTCGCTTCCGAAGCCATTATTTGGTTGGTCTGTTCGGGCCACTATACTTCGTGATTCTTCTCGGTCCTCGCTCCTACTTGTTCCCCGTGTACACCCGTGTACTCCTCCCGGCCCCTTTTCAGGGATCTGTCGTCTTTTTTTTACTCTTACTAAAGGCTTTTAACTCTTCCTTAAATGGTGCCCTTCGCCATCCATTTTACTTTTCCTCTTAAAGAAGCCCGATATATACCTGGTGTGCGATTTCCTTTCCTTTTTTCCTCCCTTAATTCAGCCGTTCGCGTCAGCCATTTTTCTTCGCCGGTTCACCTCTTTCTGCATATCGTGCTTCGTCCTTTATCCGCTGTTCTCGTGTGTTTTGCATTTTCGGATGGTCTTCTCTTCCTTAGATAATACTGATCGGTTCAGATCGTTAGAAGAAGGGAGGAAAGAGAGGCATGAGGGACATTCACCTATGACGTCACTGGTCGCACTTATCTCGTGTTCTCTTTGAGTTATTACTTACTTCCTCGATTTCTTCTTTTGGAAGAATTCCTTTTTCTTCCCTCTTTCGCTCTCGAACTTTTTATTCTCATTTCCCACTTTTCTTGCCGCCACTTTCACTTTCTCCCGGTTTTTCCTCCGTCATCTATCTAGAATCTAATGTGGAATGAAAAAGAACGTGAGATAAGGTTGCCTATGGAGCCAAACGCTGTTCTCATTTGCATAGCAAATCTGGTGGAGAAGTTAACACGAGAAGGGATGAAGGAGAGTTAATAAAAAAAGAGAACGTGTGGGTGATATCGCATCGTCGGTGGAGACTGCACAAGATTTTCGAGTATTAGGGATCCGGGTGTAAAATAGAGGTATCGCGAGGAATATGAACGAATTTAAATATCCGTGATGCGTTCCGATTATCGGCAAGTAGATCAGAGATGAAATTAATCGGTAGAAAATCGGGTGGCTTTTGACGCGACGAAGTAAGAAAGCAAGAGGACGGAAAGCGAACGACAAAATCGGGCAAAAGGAGGGATAGGAAATAAAAACGAATGAATTTAAATACCCGGGATGTGTATCAATTTCCGACGAATGCAGAGGGAAGAGATATGCAGATGAAGCCATGAAAAACGCGGGAACGGCGATTGCGCCGATACGGGAAATTGGACAAAAGTGATTTAGGAACGAAGTTTGTAAGACAATCATAAACCCAACGATGTCGAGGAGACCCTCTAATAAGTATGAAGTAAAGTAAATAATTAGATTCAAGTGAGCTGAAAGATAGCACTTAAAAGTGGAAATGGGGACCATCGCAATCACTTGACCACTGGTCGATGGTTAAACCAGGAAATCATAAATTGCCATTTTACATGCCGGTTTACTGTTTACCGTCGAGTGCGCCTCAATAAATCCCTATTTACGTTATCGTCGTGGACACGCACAAGATTTGGTAGTACGTGTCCGGCATCGATAAAATCCGCGTCCTATCCCATTTCATTGGGTGGATCATTCCATCAATCCCCTGCCCACCCGCCACATTACTTGGCACTTTTCCCAGAAAATTGTTACGCGAAAGAAAAATGGTTATGGCCGTGAATAATGCCAAGCTCCGTTTTCAGTGGCCGAAGCTCGAAGAGGAATCAAAAGCTCAGCGAGTGATTCCCGATTCGCTGCTTCGCTTCGGGACCCTGAAGAGGACGTCCAGGACTCGTGGGATCTTCGGAGCGGCGACATTTTCATCGTTTCCTCGGGCATTTTAATAACCCGAATTGCGGCGAAGACGCCACGCCACGCATACGCAAGTGAGTCGGAGTACTCTGCCCGCAACATCGGAATATGTAATGACGGCCGTGCGTATACTCGCATTTACCGAGGGACCGAATTACCGGCCTGCATACAGATAGAAATTTTCAGGAGCGACGCGATAAAAGGAAGGAACATCGAGACGCTCGTCAAATGCCAAGTGCCTCCTAATCACCGGAGGAAGATTTTTAATTAGGAGTCCAGCCCCGGCGGAACTATTTCCAGCCGGCTGGGACGGAGGGATTAATTACCTCGGTGTCCGTTAAACGCAAGTATCTTCCGCTGCGACTTATGAGAGCATAGTTTCGCGTTGAATTTCCCGTGGAAGGTGTTCGAACGGCCAATTAAGCGTGGAGACAGAGAGAAAAGGCATTACAGTGCGCATACGCACGGTCGGCACGTAACCGGCGTGCTCGACGCGGGCCGGCGGGATATATTATGTCGACTGTACATACACTTTCGTATTTATCGGGAAGGGGAGGAAAGCCGGAGGACTCGGGCCAGTGCGTTCCCAGATTTCGCGGCGAGAGGAGCGCGCGACACACCATTCGGCGTCCCCATCTTCCAAGACACCGCTCGACCAACACCAGATAAACGAAATCGCCCAACAATCCGAAAACCGTATCGCTTCCACTGCATTCTGAACACATCAGCTTTCGCCATGGCTTTGCTAATCAAGGTGAGTGCAGCAGGTGCAAAGAGCGCGCGCCTGCGCGGTGTGGCCTGCGGGTCCTTTCGTCAACCTGGACTTTGTCACATGAGGAAAATGATTTCCTGGCAAATTAGATCTGTAAAACGTCTAAATGACTACCGGCGTACTTCAGATTTATCGAGTGTATTTGGATTTTTAATTTATAAGTCTGAAGATGATCTATGAAATTCTCGGATTTGGAAGAGCGCCGCTGGTCGGGACGTCTTCGCGCGGTTGCTCTCTCGAAATTCCCGAAAAGGCTTGAAATTTGTAACGTGCTCGTTTCTTGCTCGCTTCCTTGGCCAAGGTGAGGTTTCTTGTCCGGGTCCTTTGTTTCCATTCCTTCTCGGTACGAGGGTGAACGCCTTTCTGTTTACTTCTGGAATTACCTTGGCAGGTACGCTCGGACGCAAACGCCTCGGCGGGAGCCGCGCTCGCTACTTAAATGGACACTTGAGAATGAATGTAATAAATGGAAATAAAAATGTTTCACGTATTTTCAGCTTTACGAGTCCATGGGGTTGCGCCGTAAAGACGTACTGCTGCAGTCGCCGTATACGAGCAGTTTTCAATCCAGTTAACGGAGTATATAACTTCCCGTAATTCTCCCATACGATGTTTTCGGCTATGCTGGCCGAAATTTTATGACGGACACGCGTTGCGTCGTTAAACATTTTTTTTTTTGGTTTACTTTTAGTATTTTACTTTATTTGGGGGATATTTCGGGAATGGAGAGAGATGTAATCGCCGTTGTGTATCGAGGACGTATTAAGTGAGCGCGGACTCGGCGCGCGACATTCGCGACATTTCCAATAAATTTCCACGGTATCTAGGAAATGTAATGGAAATCCATTAAACTTCCAACCGGTCCCCGATGTCTTGGAGGACATAAACATCTAATGGATGTCCTAAACCTACACACGGACTTCGGGGAGAATTTTTACATACTTTCGTATTCGGGATAAATGTTTACTCAGGGTCAATTGGATTCTTTTGAGTATTCGTCACGATTTTTATGTAACGCTAGGTTTACCTGTCACGGCCTACTTTCTACTTGAAATAGCCCGGAGACTTGCAATTGGCGACGGTGAAACGATTATTGACGCTGCAGTTAAAAATAATTAGACTAGGAACGGCAGGAATTCTCCTCCGATCGAGATAGTCGAATTCAAAGTCTCTTTGTGTAAGTCGAATCGAAATTTCAGTCACAAATTGAAGCAGTTACTGGCCTTCCGGGTGTTTATGGCTTAATCCCGATATCAGCTTGTCAGCCATATGTAAACATGTTATCGTGATTTTGTCCTTTCGGTCCGATGGGAAGCGACTCTATTTTTTTAACTTAATCTTAATCGCAACTTATGAATTTTGATGTTGGTCGTTTCGTTGGGGTGAGCAATTCGAAGTAGATAATAGTATTCCAAGTCAGTCTTGTAAATTACTCCGAACAGCGCTTAACTCGTAGTCGACCCTGCCATTTGAAATTCCACTTAAAGTACGCGCATGTACTCGAGGGTTCTCGGAATTCACGAATGCAAATTTCCATAGAAGGTCCGCAAATCACGGTATGGCTTTGTTACTTAATGGCTCGGTCCGGGAGTTGCTTAAACTGGCGCGTATATACATATAGTTAAAATAAAAGTTGCTAATTAAAGGCCCGTTTACGTGCCGAGTCGCGCGTATAAAAATCGAGGGAAAGGAAAGAGAAAGAGAAACTGGAAAGACATTCAGGCTTCAAAGATCGGCCAACTCGAGGCTCGTTATTGCGGCGATTGTGCTCAATTAAATAATTCAACAAATTGGACCTTGTTTGGCCCTGAAATCAGATAATGCTAATTAAATTCTCTTGACGGCGTTACATTAATTCAATAGGCAATTGCATTTAACGATCCTCGCGTTAATTGAAAACTCGTAATCCGGTTATAACAGACCCTTCGTTGTTGCGATAAAAAGCTCGAGTTGGATGGATCCGTGAAAGCACTTCGGAAATATTCGGTCGCGAGAACTCCGCACGGTAATAATGGCAATAAATTGACAACAAATGAATCCGCCCGCGGTAGGCGACAAATTCGACAAATCGCTTCTGTGCCGCACAGAGGCCGCATATTTACCGCCGTCCTCGGCCTGATGTTGTGATCGATGAGCCCGCAAATTACGTGATTTGTCATGCAGAAATGAAGAAGTACACGATCAAACTTCTCAACGGGTGACTGGGATGTGAAATCACTGGAAAATTGAACTGTCTCTTATTCGGAGGCGTACTTATCATCCCGGTCTAAATGAACGCCACTTTCCCAGCGGCTGGTCGAGTTATTTTGCACTCTCGATCCCCTCTTTTTCTTTTTTATTTTGTCACCGCTCCCAATTACTGTTAACGACTAGTGCTATGTACGGAATTATTGAAAATCAATGCCATTAATTTCCATGCCCAGCCTGGGCGAGTTTGGTTAGCTCTGATTTTTCTTTTTCACTTGTGGATGGGACAATTGTTGCAAATGTTGATCTTGTTTCAGGTTCTTCTTTGTTGTGCGGTCGTCTACTCGGCTCTGGCGCAGGACGCTGGCGACCAATCACCGAAATCCCGCATCTCCGACCAACAGTTGAACATGGCTTTGAGCGACGAGCGCTACTTGAGGAGGCAGCTTAAGTGCGCCCTGGGCGAAGCTCCCTGCGATCCCGTGGGACGCCGTTTAAAGAGTAATGCATATGCTCAACTTGTTTCCGCGCAGATGTGCTTGTTTTAAATTGGGTTGCCCATCTCCTCGGGAAAATTGCCCGAAAAGGAAATTCGGCCGGCTTTGAGGAAGTTAACTCAACCACCGACAATTGATTGGCGCTCTTAAAGGAGAAGCCAACTTTTCTGGTGAAACTCGGGGAGAAAGAGAGAGAGAGGCATTTCCATCAAATTGGACTCGTAAAGGAGATTACTCTCTCCTTTAATTGTATGGCAAAAATCCGGATGTTCGACTTGTCCTGCAGTGTCGCGGGGAAACGTCGATACGAGTAGCGCCCTGAGATTTCACGTCCGTTTAGAGAAGGGAAAAAGAAAACGGAACTAGGCTCCTCGTGTTCCAAAAAGAAACGCCGCCGTAAACAATTTCGTCCGCGGCAACGATGCAGCTGCAGGCCGTCAAATCATAAACTACACACTTTTTTCCAGGTCTGGCACCTCTGGTCCTGAGAGGCACTTGCCCCCAATGCACGGCCGAGGAAACACGACAGATCAAAAAAGTTCTATCCCACGTCCAGAGAGCCTTCCCGAAGGAGTGGTCCAAAATCGTCCAGCAATACGCAGGATTTTAGACGGGAACGGCCAGCCCGAAAGGACGCCGATCACTTGGATATCGTCTCTTTTAAGTGAATACAAATGCAAAAAGGAAACGTCCGAAATTGGCGCACAATCGCGTCGTGATAAGGGGATGTGGAAGTGACATCCGAAGGGTCAATCGTTCATAAAACATTTCTCCAAACTGAGTGTACCGAAACGTTTCAAACATCACAACGTGAATACAGAGACTATAAGGAAGGTCCTGAAACACTCGTGAAACTTCATTTTTTCTAAAAAATGTTAAGAATACCTTGGAACAAATTTTTAAGAAATTGGAATTTCATGGGAGTCAGGACCTTCCTTAGAGCCTCCATATTCGCGTTATAAAGTTTGAAACGATTCGGAACTCCCAGTTTGGAGAAAAGTTTCATAAACGAGACCTTTTCGACGCCACTTACATATCACCATAAGCCTCGGTCAATGAATCATGCCGACGTCGTTGATGAAACCTTGGACCAATCATAACTAAAGATACCGACCAATTTGGAGTAATAGACTCGAAACGACGAGCAACGGCTATAGAATCATGACGAAGCATGACCTACCGTATTATTTATTGTTAAGTCGTATTTTGTACCTAGGAGAATTGTAACGTAATAAAATACAGTCGAGTTTTGGTAAGCTTAGGAATCCAGGAATTACACATACGTAGGAATTATTCGGAAACGCGTAAAGCGTCATGCCCCGACTCGATGGCAATCAAATGGATCGCCTGTACCAATTTCAAGGCAGGAAAGGAAACTCGGGGAATTTTGAGTCACTGTGAAAATCGTTCCTTGATCCCGGTAGCGGTCCGTAACAAAAACTCGTCAGACTCGACAAGGTAACCCTGGGGCCCTCCAATTTGGTAAGTGGGGGTCTTCCGTCAGCAGCCAGCTGAGTCATCCCGAAATTTTGCGTAATCAGGTTAATAGAAGCTCGAGTGATCGGGATTCCCTCGCAGGTCGTTCGGGAATATTGAAACCCCCGGCCTTGCCTCCTCCTCTTCCTCCGCCTGCGGCCCTGAAAATGCGTACATTAATTACTTTCGCAGGCAGCTCGTTACCCGGGTGCCGGCGGCCTTCGTTACAAAGACGATTCGAAATCGCCTTTTTTAAGCCCCGGCGCGGCCGGCAATTATTTTATAATAACGGCCCTGTAAAGGAGCCACGGTTAAAGTGGCTTAGCGCGCGGATTAAGGGAAACGTTTACGAGGACCATTCGTATCCTTCGCCAGGCGGGCTGCGCCCTTTTCGCGGATAGGCTTTTGAAAAAGTCGCGTTAACGCGAGAAATCCCACGGCCGAGACGACGGAGTGAATGGAATAATACCATTACGTTAATTACAACGCGGTTTTTCGCCCGACAGTCTGGCGGCGCGGATTCTATTGCGATGTCCACGTAGAGTTTCCATTCTTTCCGCCACGCTCGGCGCCCGGGGTCTCTTTAAAGGGTAATTCCTAAAGTGATCGTTAACATTTCTGGCACTTCGGCCGGAACGCCGAGGCCGATCGCGGACTCGGTCGCTGCGAGACTCATTGTTACGGGGAGCCGGATGCAGGAAGTGGAGGGTGGACGTTTAAATATTTGCATCCCGGCTCTACCTCTACCGGAGGGGGATATCAACTGGCGTGGATTGCCTTATCTCTCGTCTTTCGATTAAAACCAATGCCCGCGAGATCGGATCGCGGTGCGCGAGCGAGAGTTATGTCCCCGCAAAAGGGAATCCGCGGCGGAATGAACCCGCGGGGCTTATCTGGGGTAACAAAAAGGAAAAAGGAAAGGTCCTGATGCAGGATACCGACGCTTTTACTCGCCGCGTCCTGGAAGTTCTAAGCCTAAGAACGCGTACTCGGACTTTGGGTGACCTGGCTTTCTCGAAATGACGGAAAAGGAAAAAGGAAAATATTCTTCGGGTATAGATTCGAGAAGAGACGATCGCACGGCTGAATCGTGATTTATAGGAAAGATTTTGGTTCGGCACGGACCCGGGGAAAGGGTTATAGCATGTCGCCTCGTTAGAGATAAAAGCTGAATAAGGAACGTACACCTCTGCGTGTAATTGCGTACCGATAGGGACGTAAATCTTCGCGGCTGCGTCCGTGTTCAACCGAACTGGAACGGAAAGTTCATTTTACTCGGAAGACGGCCTTTCCGACCAACTTTCGGCTAAACAAAGCGAAGCCCCATAGCCCGGATGTAAATTGAAACGCAACTTTTTGCCCCTCGACAGAGGTCGAAACATTTTGCGGCCGGTCGCCGGTAAGTGAAAATAGTTGGCTGTTATTCCGGCCCTTTTGAAATTAGTCTTTGACGGCAGCGACTCGGGGGGCAGGAGGCACTTTTAACGATTTGCTATAAACGCGTTTTTAATTATAAACTCTCCCCCGTAGAGTGGCTTAGGATCGCGTAAAGTACCGTAATTATTCGTCCGTATTATTCGACGTAACGCCGTGCGCGCACCGGCAAAGTGAAATTCCCTGAAGTGAAAATCAAAAGTGAAGATCAAAGCGAAAACGGATTACCGAGGGCCCGCAGTTCCCAATAAACGAACAGTTCTCAAACATGATAGAACGGATCGTACGATATTCAATATTCACCTGTAGCTTCATTTTTGACATCCGATTTTTACCTGGAGGATATTCAATATTGCGCGAAACACAAAACTTTCCGCGGGGGGAGGGGGAAGGGGGAAAATAAAAATCAAAAACCTTCCCCCATTGTGGCCCGCTAAGCGGGTTTTCGGGATTTTTTGGGACTTTTTTTTTAAGGTCGCCGCGCCCCGACGCTGAAACCGCTGAATAGATCGTAAGAGCGTCATTAACATACGAATCGACGAATGTTAAAAGCATTCGTGAGTGTCATTTTATCTTCTCGGATGGCCATGAAAGAACCGGGACGATAAGCGAGTGATTATAGTCCTTTTGGAGGGGCTTCTGCGTGACTCATTGTGTCGCGTTTTTGAGGCCGTATTCCCCGAGTAGAATTAAAATTACTTAAATATACAACCGTCGACAATTGACGACATCACGACACGGTACAATCGGCCGACGAAGTTACTCGCAATCAGTGGCAATTAACAAGTTTCTAATTTCCGCGAAGCTTCCAATATAAGTTCCGAACTTAATTAAACAATTAAGTCATTACTTGTGACAGGTTCTTTCTCGAGAAGGGGTAACGAAACGTAATTACTACCGACCGGTAAACTGGCGAAACATCTGAGCTTAACGACACTTCCGAGATGTCGCAAATAAAAAAAATTCGCAAAATCGGGATTCGAATTTTTGCCCTTTCGTTCGGTTTTTCATTTCGTTCGGGCAGCACGAAAATCAGAAAAAAAAAAGAGGAAATACCCCGAGGGAGAGAGGACTAATTAAAAGTAATACCCTTCTCATAGACTACTCATTAGGGGGAGCCATCGAAAAAGTCCGCATTCAGTTAACCGGAACATGGGGAAAATGTTGAAAAACGCAGCGGCCTGGAGATGCCCATAAGTTGGCATAAATCTGTATAACTGCCCGGCATGAAATCTGTATTATTAATCGCACCACTCGGTGCGTTCATTTACACGGCAAATATCCCGGCGGCGTTGAAATTGTACATATAGATTTAACTGTTTAATCCACTTATTGTAACGTATTACGCGGAGCGAAGTTTATTAACGAATATAAATAATATCTCGGGCGAGGTGTACCCCGAAAAGGCAAAACCGGCCGGGCGGGATGAAACATTTAACTTCCGGGGCATAAATGTCAGATACCCGCGCACTTGACAAAACGCGTACTCCGCATCCGCGCTGACGACTGGTGACAAAAACGAGGAGGGTATCGAAGTTCGAAAAAGTTACTAGAAAGGGTAGGGAAGACAGTTGCAAAAATGGCTGCCCCGGCAGCATTTCACCGGTCACGAGAGTGGTATCCGCGCGGCCGTCGAAACCCTGTGGGAAAAATCGAAATTTGGCCAAAATCGAGGAGAGCCTCGTTCCCGACGTCGAGTGCGCCCGGCCGGTCTTTAACGTCCCGTTTCTACTTAGAATTTATTCCCGAGTCGCCGTTGCGCCCCGGAACAAAGCTGGCCGCTCCTCGGCCGGGGAAATCGATAGAAAAAGGAAGAGCGCCCCTCGAAACTTCCGGCGGGCCTTTATAGTACAAGAGGACGGAAGTGATTTCTTTAGTCGTTCAAAGTTCGCATTTCACACGGCGCCGAGACGTACGTATGTACGTATGTACGCGTCGTTGCTCCGGCGCGCTCGGCCATGGCGCAGTAAATAGGTGGAGGCGAAACAAAATCAAACCCCCCGAAGAAGCGACCCCGGGGGACTTATCGCGTCCAGAGAGCGAAAATACCTACCGGTGGCTCTGACTCTCTAACTGGAACTGAGAACACTTACGAACGGTGCCTCTTCTTTCCTGCACGACTTCCCTTGAGCGGTAATTGCGTTGTCTATGGCCTCTCTTCTCTCGCGTTGTCCGCGGGGTCACTTCTCCTCTCGAGACGTGTCTCGATGAATTTATCCACGGGAATAATTTACGGGCTGGACGTGCCGATACGTAAACTCTGTCGATTACAATTTTAAGGCGATACGAATGTGGCATCCTAAATTTCTCGTTCATGGGATTTTTCTCCTGGGTGTACCGATTTTTCTTTTTTTTTTCATTTTACCGCGCGAGGACGGACGCCTTAAGAAAGGTTCCGACCCTCGTGAAGTTTCATTCTTTTAATCCGTTTTATAAATCATTTTTTATATATTTATGAAAATGGTGTTTCGTGGGTGTCAAGACATCCCTTAGGGCCTATGCATAGTCAAGAAATGAGATTTCAAACGATTTGGTAGACCCAACACGGGGAAAAATATTATAAACAATTGATGCGACGGGTGTCACTTTCGTGTCGCCATAAGTGCGATGCATTGTCTAAGGCTTTTTTTAAATATTCCACGTGATTCACGGCCTCTTAAGCGTATTTTCCTGGTATTCCTACGTGGCTCCTTGATGTGGCTCCTTGATGTGGCTGCGCCGGTGGAAGACGAATTTCCTCGAGTATGCATGCAACGTGTGTACCCCAGTCGCGTAACACGTGTACTTGTCATAACCAGGTAATACGTGGCAGCGCGTTCGAGCTTACAAGACCCTGTAACTTGGAGATCCGCCGTAAGGCGGAGCCGTGTTCTGTACATTCTACGATCGGATTAATACCCAATAAT